GTAACTGTAATGTCTTCCCTGTGTTGTAAAGCACTGCACAAACTGTAGGTGCTATATAAATATTGTATTATAATAATAATATATTTTTGTTACTTTATTGTACATAAAGATTTGTTGGTCAAACACTAGGGGAGCTCTCCAGTTGACTGCGACTCATTCATCTTTCCGGCTTTAAAGAAAGATATTGGCCACATTGGGAGTTCATTGTTTTTATTATGTCGGATGACTCATAGATACATTTTTGGGTGACTTGGTAATATGCTGCAAGGTGCAACAATATGAATCTGCAACCATGTAAATAAATAGAGCACACCCTATTTTGGGTCCTAAATGCATTTTGTCTTTCAACAGAGAAGAGCAGCCTTTCTCAACCTCTTTCCAGTCACGGCCCCCTTTCAAAAAAGAATGCAAAATCTAGAGGCACCCCTATCGAAAATGTAAACAAAAAACTTAAATGTAAAACTGTAAAAAAAAAGACATGCGGCCCCTACAAAATCCATACCAGACCCTTATCTTAGAACCCATGCAAAAACACCAAAAAAAATGGTTTTCCCATTTACATATCAGAGTCTTTCCCTTCAAATCGGGAGCTCCACTTCACATCAGAACCCTTCACCCCATCACATCAAGAGCCCCCCTTCACATCAGGAGCCTCTTCACATCAGAAGTCCCCACCCTTCACATAAGGAAACCTCATATCAGGGCCCCCATTTGAAGATTTCCTCTCAGAATTTCTTCTGGTAACAACTCTAAAATGTGGGATTTCTCCTATCCTTCTGTTACAATTACAGTAGATACCAGAACAAACTAAGAGGGTACATTTTCCCCAGCAGGGAGGAACCCAAACAGTAAAAGAAAAAAACATGGGATCAAACCATTCCTTACTTTATCTACAATTACAAATAATGTTCAGCCATCATATAGTGATGTTCTTTCATATAAGCTCCAAGTTACATAAATATAACTATAGCATATGAACCAGAGGGCATAATGAGAAGGAGTAAATGGTCTATTTTGTGTTATATCTAAAACTACCAATCGGGAGCCTACAAAAGGCTACATGTTATTTAACAGAAGGGGAAGTTGGGTGGATTTCCTATCACTCTCTGTTTCTGTAACCGTGTTGTCACCTTGACAGGAAGTGTAAAAACAAAAACCAACAGAGACACACAAAAATCAAACATTTGCTGGTGTCTCAAGCCTTCCACACTCTACTAAAGGAGTTTTTTTATTTATTATTATATTATTGATGAAGTGAGGGTAAATCTTCACAGTGGGACCAAAGACTGACAGATTCAAACCCTTCCCTGTTCAAAAGAATTACTTTCATTTCCAAAAAGCATTGGGATTGTATCACTTTAGCTTTGCTGCTGTATTTGCCTACAGGTTTCCAGACGAGGCCAGACAAGGTACATACATAATTTAAAAAAATGTCATTAATGTATTGCTTTGGTCTTGCTCTGTATTACTCCTGCCCTAGGCTCTAACACCATTATGGTAAATCTGTCCATGACAGGCCCTAGTATACAGCCCATTACTAGCAAACACTGGCTAAGCAAAATAGCTGACTCCCCAGTGCTCATGTCCCCTGTTATCAAGACGTACATAAATTGTATAGCATGCAGATGCTCTCCATTTTTATATATTGAGCTCTCTAAATTGTGCAGCTCAGTAGGTAAAAGGCAATCTCCTTTATTATCCGGGGCAGTGTATATGGATATCTGTAGGGAGGGGTGGATCAGCTGTACTGCAGTCCTGGAATTGCAGAGGAAACAGAAGGACCAATTTATTGGCTTATTTAAACAGCCTAAGACCCTCATACAATATGCAGAGGTTTTCCAGCTAATGAGCCTCTCCCAGTACTGCTGATGTGTGGCGGTATCAATTGCGGACACTGCTACTCCCCCACCAGCTCATCTACCAAACTCCTACATACGGCTAGTAGTCTAATTTACAAGCAAGTAGATGGAGCCAACAGCTAAAGCAGCAGG